TGTGTGTTGTGTGTATGTATGTAACTTATATGAGTATTGAATAACTAATGACTAATGAGTATTATAATAATAGGTACACATCTCTCAAGTGATCAATTAATTTGGTAGAAAATAGGTCGAGGATGTGTTAGATGTGTTAGATGTGTTAACATACTTATAATTAAGTTTGTTTAAAAAAAAAGACATTTTACATACATTCACTATATCAATAAATTGTGTTTAAAAATAAAGTCAGTAAATTATTCGTTATTTTTACTGACTAAGGATAATATAGTATTGTAGTCGATATAAGTGGATAGGTACGCCCGGTTCATATTTTATTTATAGGTAGGTACCTAGTCCTAGTGTATCTATTTTTCAAGAAAGTTAAAAGTTAAACATGTAAAACTATATTAAATTAAAACTAGCAATGACGGCGCAAACATTAAATAATATATATTTTTTATATAGTATTATACATTTATAACTTTTGTGGCATGATATCTTTTACTAAAGTTTATCACACGTTATTAAATACGAGCGGACTCTAAAACTTTCAATCCCCCCTTCCCACCTTCCCACCAAAAAGGTTCACTCACCTCTTCAGTCATATACATTTTGTTGCCAAATTTTCTATTTAGTTATAATGCAAAACTAACCGGTCATGGTCTGCGGTCGATCGTAGCGTTTTGATAGAAAAAAATCATGACAGGCGTATATTCATATGATTTGTTATGTTTTACGATCATAAATGTATAAAAATATAATTTAATGTATTATGTATAATATTTTATATAGGTTAGCATAAACCAGAATAAATAACTAGTTATAACATCACTATTGTCTATCGATATCTCTTAAATAATATAAGGGGTGCAAATGTGCAATCATCAGTTTAAAGTTGTGGCTGATCGGTCAAATGTTATCAGAATAAACATGGTCAGTGAGATACAAGTCAGATTTAGGCTAAAATCGTTTTAATTATATACCTACCTATAATGATTATTGCATATTTTAGACGTGAGTTTTTCGTTATTTTTAAGGTTTTGAACATTTATTTTATTAATACATATTATATACACATATTTAATATCACATGCACTTACGTGTTTACTAAATTTAATATACACTGTATTTAAATTTTAATGGAAAAGTCATAAAATTATTTTTCGTGGCACAGAAAAAAAAATTAATAAAATATTATAGCGAAATATTATATTGTTATAATTAAAATTTTTAATATTTTACTATTCTGGTTATTGTTATATCACATTTCATTAATTCAATTAACAAACCGCAAATCTCTTTGGTACAATAATTATAATTTGTATTATAAAATATATCTTTGGATTTATTGTATTTGACGTAATGTCGTAATATAATACAATCCAATCCAAGGCGATCGCAATAAATAGTTGCAGAAGACGCAGTCGATTAAAGATTCTAAAATTTCAGTTAGCAAAGCAGGCGTGAACAAAAACATCCTGTGTTCCGTACGGTTTTATTTTTTATTTGAAGTGTTCCGCAGTGCATACATAATTTCAAGGATTCCGCCAAAGTCTGAAAGATGTTTAAAGTAATTAAGTTTGTTTTCATATTCTTTTGGGGCTTAAATTTACTTTTTTATTTTTTTTTTTACTTTTAAAAAAATTTGGTGTCACAACGATTAATATGGTACCCAAGAAGTGTAGAAGACATTAGACAAGTATTTTATTTTTGAGCGCAAAATGCATAAAATACAGGAGATTAAATAGTACAAATTCCGAATACCATCGTCATTTTGCCGGTTCCCGGTCTTAGGATAATTATAAATTATAATTATAACCTAGGTAGGTATTTGAAATAGACATACATTTCGGTTTAATTAATGGAAAACCCGTTACAACTGATAAGTCATGACTCATGAGACAACATTTTAAATTATAACTGGTACATTTTTTCAAATCAAATGTTAGAAGTTATGGAAAACTATTAATATTTAATTTAGTATATTATAATATATTTTATTGTTATATTATTCATGTATACATAACTTTTATTGTCCACCTAATGTCTATAGTCTATACCAACTATACCTTATGTCCTTGTACACATAAAAAAAAAAAATGTTCACCGAGTGGAAAACTGCCTATCCTAACCAGTCACCACCCCAATTTGTATAAAAAATATACTTATATATACTGGGATAGATATCTTTATGAATAGCGTAATATGCTTTCTTGTATCTTCCAGAATTGTATAGTTCTTCTTTTCTGAGCCTTAAACGAGTTAAATAGTTAATAGTTAATTTAATTTGCATTAAACATTTTTAACTTAACTGATTTTTATTGATATAAACGTAATAAATTACGAGTTATACTTTTAATCAAATCCAAGTTACGTTAATTTATAAAATAATTAAATAAAAAACATAACACAATTATTATTAATGATGGATATTGCATAAGCATTTACTTTTTATTATTTCAAACCATATTACCTAGGTACTGGTTATTTGTGTATTAAAAAAATAAAATAATTGACTTAATTATTGATAAGTTGACTGTAGGTTTCCATATTATTACTTTTAAATAAACTGAGTTTAAAAAAAATTAGAATTTAAAATTTTTTAAAATGTTTTATCTCAACTCAACTCAACTCAGTTTACAATTATCATTAACTTACCCAGGCTTGCAGTTATTATTATATTTTTTTTTTTACATATAGGTAGATACATTACTCTAATCTAATGGAAAAATTATTTATTTTCTTACACAATAAACTTCAGTAATTACCTAATATCTAATTAATTGGTATAATATTTATAAATTCTAGAAATAAAATAAACACACCTACTACTAATCAGTAATAGTAATTAGTCCTTGTATAACCTATTATTAAAATGAAAATGAACTTAGAGTAGCCGAGTTCTAGTAAATAACTGACTTGTCATGAATAGTAATACATAATATTACTTTCGAAAGGTATAAAACTAATAAGTCCTTAAATAAAATATTTAAAACACGAATTATAACACCTAATAACTAGGTAGGTATAGGTAAGATAAAAGCTAAACATTAAACGGCTTATATTTTAGCTTTACTGTATCTGTAATGGATAAAAACACATAGCTCATAGCCCATAGGTAGGTTATAGGTATATTGTTGAACATTTTACTGCAGGTTGAGTGTTGTTTCAGACTTTCAGAAATGGTATTCGCCTGGGTCTTACCGTCATGGTTTGAACTGCTATTAAAGCAACTTATGGGGCCCCTTGCATTAAATGTTTAAGCTTTTTATTCAGTGAAAAAGTTTTTATCAACAGTAATTGAAAAAAATTTCTCATGGCTATAAATAGCTCATAAAAAGTTATGGGAAAATACTAATGTAAATATTTTTTTAAAGTTTCGGGTGTTTACCTACGAATATTAGTTTTTGAATTAGAAAAATATATCAAACATCAATTAATTGGAATTCGTTAATTTACCTCTGAATATCAAAAATCGTAAAAAACGTATTCAAACTCTCATATTAGATGGATTATAAATGGAAATTATTAATTAATGAAGAATGCTAATATAAATATTTTTTGTGAACATTTCAAGTATTTATACGATTATTAGTTTTTGAGAATAAAAATTCCTATTGTTCCTTCATTTTTTTTTTTTTTGTTGTTGGCCTTAATGTATTCATATCCTCCCGAATGCACCAACTAGATTTATCAGAAAAGATACTGATGTCAAAAATCGGAGCATTTTTAGTTTTTACGACACGAAATGTTGAAGTCAGAAAAAAAACACATAATTGTAATTAATATAATAGTTACATTTATACTATTACCTCTACTTTCAGAATCTAAAAAACAAATATTTATTTACTCAATTTTCATTTTTCACAATAATAATATACTAGTTCTAGTATCTATGGCTTGGTGTGGCATGGTGTCTACACCCAGTTGCGTACACGTTCTGAGTATACGCACCGGCCGGCGTTGCAAGCTCCTGGATGGGTAACCACCCGGGATTTTTTGCAGCATATTCTTGCGGCACATTCACAAACACGTGTTAAAACCCTATACCAACTCAAAACCCTACTAAAAATATACCAAAAAAACACAGTAATACCCCACATCCAATGTACTATGTTGTCGCGGGATCCCCTAATAAAAAAATATATGTATAATATACTGTCTGTATATTATAGTTCAGTGCATACATTGTTAAATTATGTATAATCGCACCAATGTACTGGTATAAATCGTTTCCTTAAAAACAAATACAGGCATACAGTATGATATTTGCCATATTTATCATGTAGGCAACATACAATAATTTAAAACCTTTAGTAAAAATTAAGCAAATTTAATTTTTTTCCAAAACAAAAATATGAATTACAGTTTACAAGGCTTATTAATATTTTAGAAAACAATTGAATAATTTTTTTTTTTTTGGGGGGGGGGAGAGGCTAAGCGCACCAATTGCACTTATGAGAAAATGTCCACCCCTCAAATGACGCCACAGAATTACCATCTATAAACTATAAGCAGTATAAGCTAAAAAAAGGCAGATGAGTGGATAACGCTCTGTTGTAGTTTAGATGTCTATGTAGAGAGTCATTGCTGTGGATGTGTTAAATTTGAATTCAGTGACATAAAATCATTGAAAACAAGAAAACGATTCTGAGCAAATATAATAATACTACTAAGTAGGTATATTTTATGATATTGTGATTAAAGTAATTTATTTTACTATATTTGTATAAAATATAATATGTATATAATATACTCTAAAAGTTTCATATACCCAAGCACAATATTTTTAAATCACAACAAAATCACAAATTCTTGGTTTCATCAGCAATTTTGTCCAAATTTGAACTTAAAATGTCTGTACAAATTACTTAAACGGACTTTACAGATTATTAATAACCAATGATAATAATCAATGGTTATATTATGTTATTCTGTGGTTATATAATTTGAATTGTTGTGATAACGGATAACATGTAATCCCTTAAAACGGACATATTGATTGGACGTTTTCCCTCCAAAACAACAATGTAACGAACACCAGTCACCGACGTCACGACGGCGACGCTGCTTTTCATTTTTTAAGTTTCAGTAAGTACTTTAAAACCCAACCATTTTGAGTATTTGATTAACCTCCTACCACGTCCTCGTGTGAGTATATCTCTCAACATTGCTAGTAAAATACTTTGTTGTATTTAATTCAATAGTACAACACCTGTTTATTATTCATATTGTTTTAGGATAAGGATGTCTGCTTTTACAACTCCTCGCAAGTCTCTTCGGTTACGTAAAAATGAACCGTCGCCGTTTTTAAAAAGTAGAAAACGTGAGTTATTCCCGGTGGATAACTGGGATGAAGACAGCCATGACATTATTCCGCTTCAGTCATCTCCTGAAGTGTATGATCCTGGACTTGATTCTCCGGAATCGTCTTATAACATGAATTGCACTCCAATCACTGAATTAAGTCCATCTATGAGTGATAAATTTGAAAGACTTATGTCGGGATCAAAGAATGGACATGAATGTTCTGCTACCATTGTTATCGAGGAAACTCCAAGTTCAAGACGAATTAAAAATGTTAACACAACACCGTTTGAATCAGAAACTAACAAAGCAGCTAAAACTCCTTCAAAAAAAAGCTTTAGTTTAAATAATAAGGCTGTATTAGGAGTAAAAACATTAAACTTTTATGGCAGTAATCAAGTAAGAAATTTAAATGAATTGCTAATAATTTAATAGGTACCTACATGCATTTTTTCTATTGTATATATATGTAAATTTGTTTAGTTACAAATTTGGCACAATATTATTTGCATTATTCACAAACCAATTTTTAATCATTTTTTACTTGTTTATTAATAGATATCATTAGAAGATCTTCGTGTTAAAAGATTTACTCGCTTAAATTATAATCCAAAAGTAAAAGCTAAACTGTTTAAAGATACAAAATCAACGAGTAAGAAAAGACCAAGATCAACCAGTCAAGAACAAAAACCCAAGATAATTTTGTTTCCTGGTGTTACATTGCCATTTAAAAAGAAATCTACAAATAAAAAACCATTCATCAAAACCGATATCAAAACTGAATTATGTGAAGAAAAAGATGATTTAATTGAAAACAATGAAGTAGTTAAAAAAAACAATTTTGATTTTTCTAAACCATCTTCTTCTTCAAAAAATGTCTGGACACAATATATTAAACAGGAAAAACCTGAACGTATAAAAATTGAGGATTCGGATAACAGAAAATTTTTTAAATCAAAAGTAATTCATAATGATACACCAAACAGGTAAGGATTCTTTTTTACGTGAATTATTTAATAAGCTAAAATAGTTCCATTTTAAACATTTTAAATTTTGCAGAAAAGATAATAGCTTTAACTTTAAAGTTGTAAACTGGGGTGATGAAAATAGGATGAGCACTGTCGATCAATCTGATTTTAATAACACAGAAATACTTGATGATAGTGCAATTGAACAAATTGGACAAGAAGTTAATGATTTAATAGAATTGTTAGATGATGAAGATGATGATGACAATTCAACAGCTGTACGTTACCCTGGTCTTGCATCAAACTCTACAAAAAGAAATCATGAAGATCGAGATGGTATAAAGTTATTATAAATAACAAACTTAAATTTTAATTGAATACATTCATAAGAATATTAAACTACTTGATAAAAATATGTATGAAATTTGAGATAATTTTTTTATAGAATACAATTTTAACATTTGTATTTCATTCAATAATAATTTTAATAGGTAATTATAAATTATTGTTTAGATGAAGATTCGTGTACAGGACTAGATTCAAAACGATTGAAGTCAGATGTACAAAGCCAAAACCATATTATTTTAAGAAGTCAAATGCCAGATTTGATTAAAGATGCTTATGCTATTGATGAAAATTGTTATTCAGCTTATTCATCACAAAAATAGTAAGTTAAAAAGTAGTTATAATTAAATTACAATATTTTTTTTTAATGATATATAGGTTAAATAATTTAAGGTAGATGTCATTTATCTATGAAAACCATTTAATGAAACATGTATTATTATTTTTTAGTGTGTCAAGTACATCTGAATTAAATAATATGGTCTTAGATGAATCTATAGATACTTCAAATGATTCTTTTGTTATTTTAAATAAATCGCCACAAACAAAGTTGTTCCCTATTTTTACCAATCAATCGCCTTCTCCTAGTCATATGGCATGGTAATTGTGTATTAATTTTTTATATTGAATTATTAATTATTATCTATAAAAATACATTTTAAAATTATATGTTCTAGTGAAAAACCTACAGCACGAAGAATAAAAAGAATTATTGATGCTACTCAATATCAAATTGATGCAGGCCAAAAGAAATTTGGTGGTTTTTTGTGCAAACAATGTGGTCTTTATTATTCAAGAGGTGAACCAGAAGATGAAGCAGAACATGATAAATACCATGCAGCCAAGAATATTTTTAAGTATAATGTATGTTGATTAAAATAAATTGTTTCCTTTTATAATTTAAACTCTATATTTATATTTCAGAGCTTTAAACATGAAAAAGTTCTTTATCAAGACACTAATGAACGTATTGTTGTTATATCTGGCTCAGATCCTAAAATAGCATGTACCAAAGCTTTAGAAGTTATATCATTTGTTGATGTAGAACTTGGCTTTAACACACAAAATTCTGTTCTACCTACGACTAAAAAGGTATTTCTTAATTTTTTCTTGTAATAGATCTCTTTACATTAATAAATAATATTTTTTTAAGCTTGAAATTTAATATTTCAGGTTTATTTGTATATAAAAGACAAACAAGTGATTGGATGCCTAGTAGCAGAACTAATATCTGAGGCTTATCGTAATCTAGAAACTGAAACAGAAGACATGGTTATTGTGTCTGAAGAATCATATCCTGTAAAAGTTGGTGTTAACCGTATTTGGACTAAATGGGACTGTCGTAAAAGTGGAATTGCTTCAAAACTCCTAGACTGTTTCCGGTAAGATTTTAGGCACGGATATTTATCCGCTGTTCAAAATAAGATCGTACTTAAGCGGCGATTAGGTTTTGTCCCCAACGGTCAGACACATTGTCAATCACTGCCCTCACCAAGTCCAGGGCTTTTGAAAGAATCCACCTCCCATGTGCACATGTTGGCCACGTAGATACGATCTCATTTTGAACAAAGTTTATACGTCATGGTTTTCTAGTGTGACTACCACAAGTTAACACTAGGTTTTATTATTTTAAGAAAATTATATTATTTTGTATAGAAAACCTAGGTCTGCTCAACAGCACTCACAGCATTCAGCATATAACCACGGATTATATAAAACCAAATGTACAACTGCCATTAAACCAATTCCCTAAAACGTGCATTTCCTTCTCAAAAATCAGGGACTTACCCTGTGAATAAATTGGTATGTGACTTTTTCACAAAGTATTGATCATAGTATTATAATACTAGAGAGATGTGTCATGTACTCATGTGGGTCACAAATCTAAATTATATATTGAATTAAATATTTTTGAAATGTAATGTGAATAAAAGAAAAAAATTAAGTAACACCTATGTGTGATGCAGGGAATTGGTTTGTTTGCATAGTTTTACTATTATGTAAAGTTTTGTAGGAAAGACCTACTTGTATACTTGTATTATTTGTCTGTAAATTACAGAATTGTCTTAAAATAATTATAAAGCAGTTTTAACATGTGATATTTTCAATACCAGATTTAAGTTAAAAAAAAGAAAATCCAGAATACTTTTTGTGTTGGTTAATTATATAATACTAATATTAATTGTTTTAGGAAAAACTATGCGTATGGTCATATATTGACACTTGATGAAATAGCATTTACAGTACCCACACGTGCCGGAAAACAATTCATTAAAAAATACACTAACAAAAATGATTATTTTGTCTATACTGGATGGTAATTATGAGTTCATTCTTAAGAATAATTTAAAACAACTTTTTTACTATTTATAATTTTTTTTCATTGTTAAGATAAGATTAAGTCCTAGTGTTTAAACATGATATTCTTATGAAATTTTAATGTTTAATATTGACTAAGTTTTTAACAATAGAAACTTATTTAATTACCAGATCAATAGCTTCTCTTCAAATACAATGTTTTCATAACTTATTGACAATTAAAATTATATTTTTATACTTATCTAATTATAATATTGTAAAAAATGTTCAATAATGCATTTCATAATCAAAATACTAAAGACTTGTATTAAATTATTATTATTTTTTACTATTTGAATCAAATAAGTTACATTTAAGTTTCTAAATTCAAATTCATCTAACTGTATAATATTAAGTTTTGAATTGTAAGTATGCATAGTCCTAATGTGAGCAATTTGTATAGTTTATTTACTTAACTAGAGATAGTAGTATTTATATATTTTCTGTCTTACGCATATTTATTTTTAATAATTATGCACCTATCTATGTCATAAATTAATATGTTTCATTTTTTATAATAATAAAGCTGTGGTTCATTAACTTGATGTTAATTTGATTTTAGAAAACAAAAATAAACATAATGTTTGTAACAGAGGTTTTCAGAAAATGCTAGAATAATAGTTAAATTAACCCACTTATCTATATATTATATTTTTTTACTTTATACCCGGGCAACCAAGACATTTCTCTAATTTGCTTGAATAAAAACTTGGTAAACTTAAGCTGACTTGACATTTTAGTATACTCTATTTAAAATAAGAAAACATTGGTTCCCAGCGTCTGTGCGTGGGCATGCTTTGTTTCAAAGCACTGGCTTAATGCTTAGATTCTGTAGGAGAAGTGTCTTGACAATGCATTTGACCACCACCAACGAAAACTGGTTTTCCGAGGTCTGTTCTTATTTTGGACAAAGTACAGTTAAGATGATAAAAACAAATTTGTTTTAAAAAAATAATTTTGAGCTATTGATAATACATTACAAATATTTATTAAACCAAGGAGAGATGTAAATTTTATATGTAATATATGCCAAACATTTAAGTAATAAATATTACTTTAAATAATCATTGGAATTACAATTTCATGTGTGTGTATTTTTAATCTAACAGTATATTATTCAGATTATTATTTTAAATTGTAATGGAAATTTGAAGAAATAAATACTATCACATAATAATACATTGATAAAACAGTAATTATGATTTTAATATTTTTAACATTTTATTAATTCATATTAAAGGTGTTCACAAAATACTTACAATTGATTTTTAAATGACAAAATAATAAATTAAACTTTAATATAGTTGAGATCCAAAAAGGAATACACTAGTATATACTAGTTATGTTATAATTAATAAATTTAATGTAATAGTAACGTGTAGAAAAAAAAGTAATAACTTAAAATTTATAGATTGGTAAATTTCGTTTAATCAAAAACAGAATTATTAAATTATACCTAAAAAATTAGTTATATAAAGCAAAAAATAATTGATAAAAATTATATAAATCAAACAAAATACCTAACCTAACTATGTAGAATATGAGTACATATTTTTTTAAATACATTCAAATTATAAAATATGACCTAGTTAGAACCGGACAAAGATAGATTGGAGTAAAAACCAGCTATGGCCTAGAAGTAACAAAAGTTAATTCCCAACATGGCAATTTATATACTTCAGTTATTCACAGCCTGGAAATTACTTTTTTAATTTTACTGTTAACAATGTATTGCACATTTAATTATGTTTGGCATTTAAAATTTCAAAGTAAAAATCAATGTTAAATTATTTTGGTAACAAATTTATGTCTGCAAAGTATATATGACTCATTGCTTGTTCTGCTGATATTCTATGCGATGGATTGCACACCAGAAGTCTTTGTAATAAATCTCGCATTTTCGTAGTTGATTTAGGTACTACCTAAATTAATATTTACAGTAAAACATTAAACTCCAGTTTCATTTTTATATTATTATAACCACCAACTTGTACGAGTGTCATATTAGGCTGATATATCGGCATTGGCTTGAAGTCAGGTAGAGTTGTCATGTTAGGCCATGTCTCGTCAGTGGGCGTTCCCAAAAGTTTAAATATCCGTTTCAATTGATCATCTACATCTGAACCAGGAAATAGAGGTCTTCCAGCATTGGCTAACTCTAAACAATGTACTTTTTATTAATAAACCCTTTGAAAGGATATTGAAGTAAAAATAATTATACCAGCAAATATACATCCAGCAGACCACATATCAATAGATGTTGTGTACAATTTGGCACCAAATAAAACATCAGGAGGCCTGTACCATAAAGTAACAACTTCTGCAGAGTAACATTTAACTGGTATTCCAAATGCTCTAGCCAAACCAAAATCGGCTAGTTTCAATTCTCCGTTCTATAGAAAGAAAATTAATATAATATTGATCATCTGAATAAAATATTTAGTTTGATAACTAATTAGGTAACCTTATTTATAAGAAGATTCTGTGGTTTAAGATCTCGATGCAAGACATTATGACTATGGCAAAATGCTAATCCGCGTAATAGTTGGTACCTAAATTTATAAATGTTGTTTAATTGCATTTATCTAATAGGAAGATTATTTTTTAATACATGAATGATTTCACAACATTAGGATCGATTTCTCCATTCAAACTATCAAAATATTTTTTCAAATCTTGATCACAGTGTTCAAAGACAAGTACCAATTTTTTATCACTATGAAGTACATCATAAAGTCGTACGATATTCTTGTGTTTCAATTCCTTCAGCAAACATATTTCACGCAGAGCTGACGAAGGAACACCCTAGAAATATATTTTACTTTAAAACAGACATGACTTAATTTCTTAGATATATACCTCATCATCATCATCGAGCCTCACGCGTTTCAATGCAACAATCTCTAAGGTTTCACGGTTTTTGGCTTTAAACACCGTACCGTAAGTGCCTGTCAATAATTATCAAATAAGTACATAATGTATATCAATTTACTAATCACGTATTATGGACTTACCCTCTCCGATTTTATCTAGTTTTTCGTATTTTTGCATGTTTTTAACGAAGTATATGGAATAACGTGTACGATGAGAATTTAAAAGCGGTACATCTTCTTATTTTCTTAATCAATAACCAAATCTTATGTATACGAATACAATAAATTAAAGACTAGAAGGCCCACACGTCATAATATTATACAAAATATATTATAGTCCGTATGCTGTGCGGTACTGCACCACAGGAGGGATTATATATATCTATTCTGTAATTCTGTAAGTCGTGAGCATAGTTTAGTATATATTATAAACATTATACTATTAAAGAATAAAGATCAATATTATTATTGTTCTGTGATATTAAATATATATATAAGCAAACAATCCAGTGGTATAGTGCTGTGCTACTGATAATGGCTTATCGGAGAAAATAATATATTTTAAATGAAATTTCTGAGGGATACCCCGAATAGGTGAAATACATAGGGGAAGAACTGGCCTCGTCCCTATTCTATCAGCTTTTTTTTCCTTCTTTCGTGTCCATAGATTCATTCATTTATTTGTCGATGTCTTATGTCGTAACTCGTAGCATAACCGTGATAACCGTAGTCTATTTTCATGTCCGTGTTGTGACTAATTTATTGTGAACGTTAAACTATTTATTTATTATTAAGAAGCAATGCGTAACAATAGACATATCACATAATATGTATATCTTAGATGTAAAGGTATACAAGAATTATTACAGAATTATAATATGCTACCATGACGTGCGTTATCATACTATCAGCCGTGGTGGTCCGTGATAATGTGATATTGGGCTGATATGAAGGTATGAAGATTCTAGATAGCAAAAAAGTTATGTCAACATTGTCAACAGAAACCTTAATTAACATTTAACTATGTAAAATATTCTTTAATATTAATAGAAATAGAAAATAGGTATTGTGCTATGGTTTTTAATATTATTTCAGTATTCAAATTTGCCACGTAAACAATGCACGTTTAATTATTTGTTAATTATTACCACAAGTAGACCGTAATTTGTATAATAATCTCTTCTAATAAATTTGTTTAGTAACATATACCAATCAAATACGTCAACTGCAGAATTTAAAAGGCTGATGAACCATGTTACCTCCACACAATGGTGAAATAATGCATCTTAATGTTGGTGGTACTAGGTAAAGAATTACTAATAAGATCAATACTTTGGTGATGATTTAAATTATTATTTATAGTATCTAAGTTATAATATAAATATTAATTTTTATTATATATGCTAAACCTTAACAATAAAAACATTTTCTAGCTTACTCAGTGATAGATGCATTAAAAACATTGCACAATTGCTACATTGTCGTTTGATTGTATTCTTATTTAAAAATCAAATTAAATTCTGAATTCATCTACCTATTTTATTTAATCATTAGCCCTAAACTAAAATCCTTATTGTCCACCTCATTCACTTTTCTCTTTTTTTTCCATGTTATCGATTACACTGCCATAATGGAATTTATATTATGTTAAACATTAAAAATACTAAAATACATGTGTTAGGAACTAATTCAAACCTAAAAATCACAAAAGTACAAAGACTTCAAAAATAAATATGATGCTTAAATCAAAAATATTTGTTTTAGGTTCTCAACATCTCGGCAAACATTAACATGGGTGCCAGATTCTTTTTTTACTGCTCTATTAAGTGGGCGTATTTCTAGTCTACGAGATGATACAGGTGCTATATTCATAGACCGTGATCCAAAAGTTTTTGCCATAATTTTGAACTATCTACGAACACATGACATAGATTTGTCTGGCACTGATATTAGAACATTACGGCATGAAGCGGAATTCTATGGTATTATGCCTCTAGTTAAACGCCTTATTCTGTGTGAAGATCTAGAGCAATCGTCATGTGGAGACATCCTGTTTTATAGCATGTTACCAGCTCCAAGTAAATACAAATTTCAATATAGTTAAATACACTATTTAAAAGTGTTACAAAATTCTCAATTTGTATTATATATTAAACTGCATTAAGTTTGATAATTTGGTGTTTTATTTTCCAACCTACCTATCTCTTCTTTTAATTAGTTTGATATAAAAAAAAATGTTTTTCTGAATAATTCATTATTTTACATATATTTTTTTTCTTAGACCCTCCTATGCAAGAGTCCGAAATAATTAGTAATGCGACTAAAGTAGATGATCAAACAAGACCTGGTTCAATAGTCCGTGTTCCTGAACCAGCACCACCACCAAATTCACCATCATCAATACCTCATACTCATGGTTATCAAAGGTTGGTAAATATATAAATGTATAATATTCTAACTAATTGGTACAATTCAATATTTCATAAAGTATTTGTTTTAAAATAAAGGATTATAATATTAAAGACAAAATATTTTTCTAGTCGTTGTCATTCTCGTAACTCATCTTTAGACATTTCTCGAGTTACTGTAAATGGTCGTGGGTCAGTCATTAACGGACGTGGCAATGGTAATAGTGGGCACTCTCGAGCAGCTTCACTTGGTAACCATGTACCCAATCACCATTCCAGAAACTCATCAGCTGATCTCAACAAGTATATTAGAAATGATGCATTAAATTTGGTTTTTGGTTATAATCAAGGTTCCAACTGGGCTGATCCATTGCGTGTCCAAATCATCAAAGCTCACCATAATTGGATTGTAGTTGCTTACGCTCATTTTATTGTTTGCTACAGGTAAATAAAAACTTGTTTTATGTTTAGGAAACTTATGTAGAGGATTTACATATACAGTAGAACTTGTACATAATAATTTTCAAGGGTTTAAAGAAAATAGGTCATAATAACCGACTGTCATCAATACTACCTATAAAATTTAACATATACAACTTACCTATGCATTTTTCCGAGTCCTTTACTTTAAGGTCGTTAAACCTGATATATCTATGCAACCGGTGTCATTATAAACAATTTTTACAGTAAATTATAAGTGATTAAAAAATCAAAACTTTTGATGTACACCAAAAGTTCTCGTAATTAATAATTACGTTCTAAATTTGTAAATTTTAACCAAAATTAAAAGAAAATGATTATAGTAATTACTATTATTTACTCAATATGAATCGGTCACTGTCGCAATGATTAATCCCTCAAAATGTCTATAAATGGTGAAAAAAATACAAATAAATATAACATTAACATTAATATATTTATATATTATTATAAACACAATTAAACATAATGTATTTTATAATAAGAAAAATAGTAAAATATTCCAAGAAATTTAAACTGCAAGTATATTTTTGATGAATAAATTCCGCTTTATTTTTTATAATTGATTCAAAGCAACAGGGACATTGGTGTAATCTAACCTTTGTAACAAATACCTCTTTGTATTCAATTATTATTTACTGTATTTTTATGTAGTCATTTATATTTTACTGTAATCTATAACTTATATTATGTTTTATTATATTGTGTAAATTGGAATTTATAAATTTGTCATTAGAACATTGAATATGTAAAATAGACTGATAATTGAAAAATATGAAATATACAAACACATATAAATTTGCTCCCTAATTTTAATAATCAGATTGTTTCTGATAACAGCCTAATATCTATCCTTGGATGCTTAAACTAAATAATATGTTTCATTTCTTCCTAGATTTTTGTTGTTATAATTTTAAAATAACATTATTATATGTTGTAACAGATTGAAAGATTCAAGTGGTTGGCAACAAGTTTTCACATCTCCACATATAGACAACTGTATTGAACGAATAGCAATTAATGCCAAGATGAATAGTCAAAATGGTAATTCTGATGGTTCCTCTGTTATGGTTGCTATATCGTATGGAAATCAAGTTCGACTCTGGGGAGTATCAGAACAGGGATCTCGAACCAATATAGGTAATATTTGTTGTATAGTTTTAAAAATGTATAAATTTAAATTTGTAAACAAATGTGTTTAGGTACATTCAATTTGAATGTCCGTGTAGAACATTTATTTTTTATTGGTAGCCAACTTGTTGCTTTATCGCCCACTGGTAAAATAGGGGTTTGGCATGCAATGACTCAACATTGGCAAACTCAAGATGTAGTACCAATCGCATCATTTGATACAGCTGGTTCATTTCTGCTTCTTGGTTGTAATAATGGATCAATTTATTATATTGGTAAGAATTTTATACAAATTATATGATTACAGTACAAATCATAAAAATTAAAATACTCTTTTAGACATGCAAAAATTTCCATTGCGAATGAAAGACAATGATTTGCTAGTAACTGAGCTCTACAGAGATGCATCAAATGATCCAATCACTGCTATTTCTGTTTATTTGACTCCTAAAACAAGTAAGTCTACATAAATAATAAACTAATTCTAAAAAAACCATAATTTTTCAATATTTTATTACACTGTAAAATCAATAAATTTCAATATTTCTAAGAACAGTGAGATTTTTGTCAAAATCAGTCATGAGTGTTTTGAGTATTTAAGCTACAAAAAAACATAAGGTTATAAAATGTAGTTTATTTAATCAATGCAGTGGTTTTCCTAGGTTCTTCCTGACCATGTTTTCACCCAGTTAACTATTATTGGTTCAAAATATACTTATACTTTATAATTTTTTAACAACACAATTAGTATTATGTCAACATCAAGTTTTACTCATTGGAGATTGACTAGAATGTAGTAAAAAAATGTCATAAAATATTTGAATTTTTGGACAGTAATGATGGATGTCCTTTTAAGTTTTAATCATAAACGAGGATTTGTGTCCAATTATAAAAATATTGTGTAAGTACCAAACTATACTCTGTTCAAATTAAAAAACGTATTTGGCGGTGACCAGTTTTTATCTACTAAATAACTAAACAAATATTTAAAATGACTTAAGTATGGCACTGAAAATAACTATGAGCTATAAATTATGAATAAATATAACTATGCAACTTTTGAAAATGTTATAATGAATAGAAAATTATAAAATAAACATTTTGTGAAAATTGCATGTATCTACACGGTTATTCATTTATAATATACAAAAAAAAAAAAATCAATTTGATCAAATACTGGTTTTGAGTAAAATTTCCGGTTTACCAGGTTAATTTGAATAGCTTTAAGAATTTTTTATCTTTGACCCTTCAAAATACCAACTAGATCTAACTTTCTACCAAAAAACACCCACAAAGTTGAAAATCAAGGTACTTTTACAGTACCAAAAGGTAATATATGTTGTAAAAATTAAGAAATACTCATTATTGTATAAAAGATGACTTGATTTTTACCTTTAGAGCTTTTTAAAGCTTA